GCGCAAATTTTTGACAGTTCATTAAAATTTCCACACTTAGTAAACACCAAATATGAATTAATACGAATTACACAATCAGGTTTTGAATGCCCGTATCGATTATATATATTATTTTACATATATATGTATAAATATAAGTTTGTGTAAGTGTGTGTGTGTGTGTGTGTGTGTGTGTGTGTATGTACGTGGTGTGTTTATTTTAATACCAACAAACAAACACACACACAAACCAACACACACACTCATGGACACAAACACACACGCACATACACCACACACACACTATATATTATATTTATAGTCACAATATATATATATATATATATATATATATATATTATTTATTTATTTGTGTGGGTACATGCCTAGGTTTGGATGAATTTGCAGCACAATTCACTGGTAAATAAATAAATCAAACGTGCTATTATATGCAGTATGGATGGATTGAGTCGTAGGTACAAATTCATAAATATATACTTACTGCATCTTTAGGATGATATTTTAGTTTTTATACAAATACTACAACCTTGTTTGTTGCTGTGTTTATTGGTTGTTATTTTTCATTTTTTAGTCTTGTTTGCAAACAGCTTTTTGTGTTCCAATTTTTGATTCTGAGTAATATTTTCAGCAAATTATTCAATTAACGAACTGGCATTAGCATGACGTCATAAATAAAAAATACAACTGACAGGCAAGAGTACGTAAAAGAGGAATATATCGGAAACAAAACGAATCAAGGGTCATCAACAACTACAACAACAACAAAACTAGCAAACATCAACAACAACAACATCAACAACAACGACAACAAGGAATTCAGTTCTCAGAGCACAATGACCAGAGAGTACCTTGTATCACCACCAACCCCTCCGCCACGCAAATCAGTCACCAGTCCAACCATAATCTCAAACAGAATTTTTGTCGACACGGATCAACATCAGCAGCAGCAGCAACAACAACAACAGCAACAGCAACGTCAAAAACAAACCGTATCAACGGTGTACAACAACACGGCTGACACGATTTATTACGATGGAGATAGGAAGGTTTCCCTGCCACACAGCTCTTCGTCATCCTCACTCAGGAAGTCCAGGTTCGAAACCACTAACGCCCAACATTTGTCACCCCCTCTGGAAATTAAAAGTTTGATACTTGTTATTCATTGTTTTTTTTTAATACGCTATAATGGTTAACTGTAAGACAAATGTTTGAATATTTTTGCCACTGAATATTTCACTCCATTTTAGTTCTATAGACTGTTTTAAGCCTTTTTTGAAATACAAAAATATTTCCAACTAGTTTACTTCGAATTATCTTATCGCTAGTTAGGCAAACTTCTAACAATACGAATAAAACAAGTTTGTTTTTTATAAAGAGCTATTTTTTTAGCATTCAACGGCAGAGTTTCACATTTGACAAACACTCACATACCTACTTAGAAAATAAAATGAAAAGAATTTCAACATTTAGGCTGATGATCCTACTATGTAATTTTAATATACTCTAACTATTGAGCCATTACGCTTTTGTTCATTGATTTATCTATTTGTTTTATATTTTGATTATTTTTTAATTAAATCATTCATTAATCGGTTCACTTTTTTATATTAAGTTTCATTCATTATTTAATTAATTTAATAACGTGTAAAACAAACAAATAGCCGTTTTTTAACAAATCATTGTTCACAAATGAACTTAAAAAATCATATATTTGAACGTATTCAATGTAATATCAAATTTTCATTTAAACAACACCAACTTGTTCACCAACAAATGATCACCAACTTGTTTACCAACAAATGTTCACCAACTTGTTCACCAGCAAATGTTCACCAACTTGTAAAACTTATAAAGAGATAACATCAGCGAGATCGTACCAACGCGAGGGGAGGAGTGTGGACAGATTGGTGGACCACAGTGACCACCAACATCACCACCCCCACACCTGCCACGGCCACCACAGCTACAGAAGTGGAAGCCTTGACATTGACCTTGATGACCTTGTTCAGAGGAATCTCACGAACAAAAATAAAGCGGTAAAGTTAAGTTAAATTGGATATAAGTGTTCCCTTCTCGTGAATACATGCAAATGAATTTTATCAGTTTGCAATTGTTGAAATTCTGCGTAATTTTATTTGCTAAAATTTTCAAATAAATTTCATAAAATACGTTTATGAAATAATATCTAATCAAATTCATATCAAAGTCAGCATAAAAATCTAACAACCACAACATCACACACACACACACAAATACACACACACACATGCACACATAAACAAAAAACACACACACACGTGAACAGATTCAGCAAGTAGACACCGACCTACTAACGAAAGAGAAATCAGAAGAAGGGGCTTACTACATATCAGGTCTGGAGAGGCCCGCCATAAAAACGAAGCTGCCCCAGACCAAGTACATATTCAAGATATCCTCGCCGGGAAGGTGGGATGATGATGAGGAAAATTATTTGAGTAAGATGAAGGCCATGAAGAAGGAGGTGTACAACACGCGTGTGTCGGGAGCTGTCGAGTCGAAAAATCAAAAAAGTTGGCTTTTGTATTTATTTATGATCTCGACTATGTTTATATTTTTTAAATGTTTTTTAGATATATCTTTCTTGGTATCTATACTTTTACTTGATGATATTATTTTTTGCGCGTTTATTTGTTTCTGCGTTTGAGTTTAGGTGTTGAATTTGTTGCGTTTTAGCGACTCTCCTTTTTTACACACACATATATATATTTATTTTTTTTATTCGTTTACCTGATGTTTATTACTAAGAGACACCACTAGCATTCATCCTTGAGTATTTCTTGCTCAACCTGCATTTGAATTGGGTCATTGAGCAACTGTTTTGAAACGTCTTCTTTACCGAAGCATAATGATTTATATTTTCAGACTTTTTTTCTGTCTCCGTCTTCGTAATAAAAATTGTATACAAAAAAGAAACAACTGCAATTGTTATAGCGACAACAATAATTGAAAGTTATAAAAATAATTTATTTATTTATAATAAAAACAGGCCAGGAAGACACACTGAAAGAGCTGGAGAGCAACTTGAAGGCCATGCTGGAAAGCACACTGACGCAAAAGTACAAACAAGAGGTAATAATCAGAATTTATTCGTGAGAGATTTTGTCTTATACTTGTATAAATACAAATATTTAATTATTAAATGTTTGCGAATAGTTGTTTATTTTCAAAGTTTGTATAAGAATGTTCAATGTTTTTCATTTCATAACTTGTTTACCATTTATCTAGAATAGACTTCATTGGCTGCTGTAGCGTTATTTAAAAACTGCTTCAATTTCTGGAACGGTCACTAATTGCCTATCTACCATTGTTTTAATACATTTTTTTAACAACACGAAATATACTCAGGTTATCCAGACTCCTAAACCCCCCGAACCACTGGTAGAGAAGATTGAAACTGAGATCATATCTCTGGAGCCAATAGGTCCTGGGGTACAGTTGCTGGAAGCTGATTTGGGGTCACGTTCTAACAATACCCTTCGCCTTGTTGGTTAGTTCTATGATTTTTATTATTTAAAACTTTTTTTTAAAGAAAATAGTTTAAACAAATATATTATCACTCACTAGAGGGCAGATCGTCTCAAACAGCATCTCTCGCAAGGCAGACCCTCTCCCCTCGCACTCTGTCCCCTAACTACAACAACATCATCAGCAGCAACTACAAGTACACATACACCAGCAACACCATGCCGGCAACAAACGCCGCCACTCTAACTGCACCTGACTTTTCAAATCAACAACTGCAACAACAACTGCAGCAACAACAACTTCAGCAACAACAACTGCAGCAACAACAACTGCAGCAACAACAACTTCAGCAACAACAACTGCAGCAACAACAACTGCAGCAACAACAACTGCAGCAACAACAACTGCAACAGCAACAACTGCAACAACAAATGCAGCAGCATCAGCAACAACAACTGCTTCAGCAGCAACAAAGTTTGAGCAGAAGATGCGAACCTTACGATAATTTTGGTACCTTGACGAACCAATTTGTAAGATTATTATTCTTCAATTATTCAAAATTTAGAAATATAAATTAACTTCCATAATTTTTATTACACTTACGCAGAAGTGACAAAAGTAATTTTTGTAAGCAGTCGTTTGTAAACAAAAAAATTTTACAAATTTATTTTTGTTCAGTTGCAACAGTCAGGACTAGCTTATCAGCAACCGCCGCAACAAGTCCAGCAACATTTTCAACAAGTTGCACTGGCTCCCCCACAAGCTTTCGTAACCAACTCAACGTTGACAAACACCAACAATAACATGTTGACGCAGATCTCAACGACAACAAAATACAGCAAAACAATCAACAACACCCCTGTGCAACAATCATCGTCACCTTTTTTCAACCAAAACAGTAGCGGCAACATTATGATTGAAAGTACGTTGCCAACAAATGTCAACAACACCCTGCAACAAAAAAGCAACTTTGCATCAACAGCCCCGGCAACCAACACTGCAACAGCGGGCACAACAGACCGTGAAATACCGATTGTTGTTGAGGGCTACAACAGCAACAGCAATGTAAACGTTGCAAACAACACCGCAAGCAGCAGCAGTTACAACTACAACTACAGGAGTGGTAGTTCAATGATGCGGGAAACACCAACCATGTTGAGTAACAAACCACGGGTTGAAACACCGCTGAATAATGTTGAGGCAACAAATATTTCTGCGGCCACTAGTCCCAACACAACGAGAAGGTCATTATGTTACTCAGTTGAAATATTTGTTTTGAAAAATATTTTTTCCAACAAATCTAAAAGTTAATTATCAAATAAAACAGTGTTACAGTTTCTCCAGCTGTCATGACAAATAGCGAGGCACAACAACTGCAACAACAACAAATACTGCAACAACAACAACAACAACAGATGATGCAACAACAACAACTGCAGCAGCAAAAAGATTTGAAACAAAACCCACTGTTGTTGGATAGCAAGCAATTCAACTCCTGGCACAAACCTCACATCACAAGACAAGAAGGTTCTCATATTTAAAATTATCTGATTAATTTATTCGTATCCTCTATGAGTATTTGAGAAACAAGAACGCAATCGTTAAAACAAATCTATATAAGGAAAGAAAATGCTTTCGTCCGTGTACCCTTCCGCGCGCTCTACCGATCATACCATGAGATCTATTTCAGAAGTCGGAACGTAGCTCTTAGTTTACTATCGATTCGAAGACGTCGCCCGTTTTAGGGCCAGTCAAAATTTGTGATAGAAATTCATATCAAATGTTTTCACAGCCCAAACGCATTCTTCATTGAAACGTGAAATAGAATGTAAAATTTGGTTGAATGTGGTGTTATATATGATTTTGTGATTTAAACTTGAAAAAGTTAATGACATTCGTAGCTCGCAATACTTTTTGAAAATTATACAAATATAAATTTAAATTTGCCTTTCGAGATTTTAAATGGAAAATTTCAATTAAAAATCAAACCTCTATCGAATAAAAAAAAGTTATGCTATCAGATCTGCATCATTCAAAATATTTTTTCGTTTTTATTATTTGGAATAAATCTTCAAATTATTGAAATATTTCATTTAAATTAAAATATGATAATGTTTTTTGACGCAATTTTAGAGCAGATAGCAGTATTAGCTTTAAAATTTTTTTTTACTACACCGACTCTCACAAAATACATACATTATTTTTCTCACTTTCTCCAAATAAAGTGCTAATGTTTGTTTCCTGAAAGGATACTAGGGTAATTAAAATATTAAAAATTGGAAATGCAGAAAAATTTTAAAATGGGAGCATGTAGGTACATTAAATAAATTAATAAATCTGGGCGTTTATGAAAATGTTGTTTGAATAATGATTGAAACTTTTAAATTAGACATACCTTAACATTAAAATTTGTTGACGGCTGCTTGAAAAGTTTAATTCCAAATTATTAAAACCATTTTAACTTTATTGAAATATTTGTATGCATGCATTCAGGATTAACGACAAACAACTAACAGTCATAATCATAATGCAACATGATGAATGTTTCACCATAAATATTTTACAACACAATACAGTACAACACAGCACAATACAACACAACACAATACAATACAATGCAAAATTTTTATCTAATCCGAAAAAAACATTTCAAATAAAATTAAAACATACATCCGACAGCCATAAACATGCTTCGTAACAAGCCCCCTGGCTCGTTTGTTGTCAGAAACAGCCACAGTTTCGCTGGGGGCTACGGACTGGCCCTGAAGGTCAGCCAACTGCCACCAAATGTGCAAGCCAAAGGAGGTAACGTGTCTTGTTTGATTGGTTGTTTGATTAATCACGTGATTGATATTTTGGTCACGTGTTTACTTTCATTTTGGTCACTTAATGGTTTCAATAATTTTCGTATGGTGCTAATAGAATTGAAGATTTTCATTATTTTTCTATCGACCAAATGGGAACGTTTGTGTTTCTTATGGATGGTCATGAAATGGGATGTAATCTTGGTACACGTACGCTACTTTATTCATTGCGTATGTTTCCAAAACCATTTTCAAATACATGAGTAACATTGACAATCAAGAAGAAATATCAACGCTCGTTAACGACACAACTTTAGCAGATAAAAACGTTCATACAAATCTTAGCAACCCAAAAATAATTAAAGCAAACAAAAACCATTGAAACCATTTGAAAGTTGACAAGGAATAATTGACAGCTGCAAACACAAAACAACAAACATCAAACAACAAACACAAACACAAAACGACGAAATACAGATGATTATGAAGCTAATTTGGTGCGCCATTTTCTCATTGAGTCAACACCAAGAGGCGTCAAACTAAAGGGGTGCAGCAATGAACCTGTGTTTGGTGAACATCGTGCTAATATCAATTTTCATATAATATCTTAAAAATTTCAGTTGTTCAAGTACATAACAAATAATTTTGCTTTTGAATGATATTTTGTCTAGATTTTAACATAATTTTATTCAGCTTCTACTGATTCTTTTATTTAGTATTTAAAATATCTCACACATTATTCAAATTAAACATTCCTTGTTTGAATTCTCATGTATAAACATTAACAGATCATATAACAAATAAATTTACATCTTTGTAAGCTTAGTAACAAACCAATAATTAAAACAATCCAACATGTTCCACCGAACGAACTGATTTTGACCCCTGACGAATGGATGAACCACTACAGCCAGCCTGAGTGCCCTCATCTACCAGCACTCCATCACACCCCTCTCCCTCCCTTGCAAACTCCTTCTTCCAGAACCTGGTGACCCCTTTTCAATTTTTTACCAAAGATTCCTAATAGATGTGCATTTTTGAATATGAATTACTCAAAATTTCTAACAAATTCTTGGCGTTACTAAATATGTAAGGAATGAAAACGCAAAAGAAAAAACGATAGATAGATAGTGACAGTGAAACAGAATGATGGAGAATAAGGGAATGAAAAATTAGGAAAGAGTTAGAGAAAAAGAGATAAAGAAAACCGTTACATTTCAATACGGTGTTGAGTAAAACACAGCAGAAAATTATTTGCCAAAAATAAACAAACATTGTCGATGGGAAATATAAGTAAGCATGAATGATCATTGCGCTTAAACATATCATCCGTCAGACGTCAGTTCAATAGAAGACATGGAGATGAACATGAATGATGAGTTGAACAACTACGACAACACCATCATCAGCAACACTTCCAGCGTCAACAGCACGTACAACAACAGCAACAACATCGTCAGTGACAGCAACAACAACAACGTTCTTATTAGCAAGAGCGATTGCATCAACAACAACTGCACCACCAATGCCAACACGAACAACACCGCCAACAACAACAACAACAACACCATCAACTCCAACTACAGTACATTGTCGATGAATGACTGCGGATTTATAAGTGATTGCGCTAAAATTCGAATTCAATAAATAAAGCTTTATATTAGATATAAATTTTATTTAGATTTTAAATTTTATTCAATTTTTTAAAATTTGTAAATAATTTAACAGTAAAATCTGTAAAAAAAAACTCCACACAACCATTCACAAATGTTTATCAGATGGCCAGGTTCTGTACTTGGACAGTTTCAACACGGAGAGTCTGACAGGTGCAGAAGCCCTGCAGAAAAGTGTCAGCAACATTCTGTCGGATAATTGGAAGAACCAGACTGGTACCAAAATAGATCTGAGGATTTCAGGTCAGGGGGTGGTACTCACTGACCACAAACACAGGTTTCTGTTCTTTCTGCCTAATTTCACAATAATATTAAACCCTAGATTTTAAGAACTAGAACTGTCATATTGTTATTTTCCATCATATACCTAATCGGAAGCTAGAGTGCGTTAACGTCACATATTTAGGGTGATCATCGGAACGAAAAATCTTTAAACAGCTTATAAGTGAAATATTAATTGCGCGTGACTGAAGGTCAAAATTCAAAGTTATTTTGATTCCTATAGTAAAAAGTTTTGTTTTAGATTCAAACAATGGCTTTTTTATAAGTTACACGTACAAATGTTTGACAAAAAGTAACATTGATTGTTATTCTCTTTAAGATACTTTTCAGAGTTTATTAGAACAAGCACACATTATATAAACACACGTGAATCAAAGCATCACACACTTTTGCATATGATAGGAAGGGATCTCTTTAGACTCGAACCCGGACATTGCATCAGCAATGTCAGGCACCTTAACCATTACCCCTTCACGATGACCATAAAGTAGATAAAATAATACATGATTGTTAAAAGTGTTTTGCTTAAAACTTGCTTCGGATAAAATGAATCACAATTCCACTTATATCGATATGGCAAATGAACCTTCAGTTACTGGTTAATGTCAGAAAGTTGAAACCAGCGTTGATTTGAAAATGGAGGGAAAAAATTTACGTATCATCTTCCAATTTGAAATCGCAAAAATAAACGAACAAAACAGTTTTTCATATAAATAATGAAAAAAGCATCACATAATAAGGGAAAATAAATGAACGAATGTATAATTTTTAACACGAAGGATTTTTTTTCGGAGGCATTATCCGCTGGAGTTCATTTCATATTGTGGCTTGGAGCCAAGTGCAAAGATGTAGGTGTATGTGATTGATACAATCATTTTTATGCAACCTAGCTTGACTATTTTCTTTTGTTTTTGTTTTTTTGTTGTTTAGCTTTTGTTATTTTGTTGTTAAGTTCTCTTACTGTCTTACTATTGATGTTTTTTGAATCATTTATTTCAATTTACCATTTCAATGTTCTTTGTTTCATATCGAAGATTTATAAACATTTCAAACGGCTACAACGAAACAACAACAACTACTACTATTACTAGCATTCCATCAACATCAACAAACACAATCAGAACAAAAAAATGCCTCGCGGCATCGTACAGCTGTCTCTAAGAAATAATAAAACATATATTTGATTGATTGATTGATTGATTGGCTAGTTGATTGATTGATTGGCTAGTTGATTGATTGATTGACTGATTGGCTGACCGATGTTTTAATTTGAAAAAATAAATTGAAATGTCCTCGTAGACTGATGGTTAAAGAAAAAATATTGCCTGATGAATCGTCTGATTGATTATTTGTTTGATTGACTCATTAATTGATTGATTGACAGATTGATTGATTGATTGACTGACTAATTGATTGATTGATTGACTGACTAATTGATTGATTGATTGATTGACTAATTGATTGATTGATTGGTTGAATGAATGTTTTATTCGTTTGACGACAAATCATTTTAATGGTCGAGTAAATTATCTAAATTAGAATTTTGAAAAATCGAAATTGGTTTCCATATTTACAAATACAAACAAACGTACATACATACACACGCTCATACGTACATACATACACACATACATACGTACATACACACGTATATACATACATATTAAAAAATACAAACATACAAACACAAATTTCATACAAAACAGTTGGACTTTTTCAGATCACGATGGCAACACGTACAACGGGAGGTCAGATGTTTAACTTTCTTCATACATAACTTGTACAGTATGATGATACAATGAAATACAAGAATAACCCCATTAACACTAATACAAATAATAATGAAACACTTTTAAACAAAACAATCCAATAACGATGATAACAATGATAACACTATTTAGACTCTTTGGAATAGTGGCGCGAAAGTTAGGAACGTTGTCATGTAACGGATGTCACGTGTTCATGGAGGTGGATGTGTCGCAGTTTCCCGCTTCCTACGTCGTTCAGTCACTCAATCAACTGCTCGGAGGATGACGAAGACGACGATGATGGCGATGGTGATGAAGATGATGATGAAGATGATGATGAAGATGAAGATGATGAAGATGATTATGACTGTGACACTGCTGATAATGATTGCGACGCTGATGATTCTGATAACGGTTTTAATGATGGTGGTGACGATGCTTATATTGGCTATGATGATGATGATGATGATGATGATGATGAATGTGATTATGGTTATGATGATAATTGCAAATAATTTGTTATTTAACGACTAATCTAAAGATGATGACGTCGAACGATGACAAACTTAAGACGATTTTGGGCTCAGTGATGATGATGATGAAAACTACTAAGGGGTGATGACGATGATTATAACGATGATGATGATGACGTAGAAACAGTGATAATAAACCTAATGATAAAATATAAAATATGATAATAATGATTAATAAACAATGACAATGCAGATGTATACACGCTAAAAATGATTTCTAGTACGCTGCTAATACCATTTCAACAATTGTGAGTAAAATGATAATAATAATAATAGTTGGCATGAGGTGATATGATGATAAGCATCATCGATAATTATGGTATTGTTAATGATGATCAATCATATTATTAGCTTTAATGATGAGGAGGATAAAAACAGCCATGGTGGTTATTTTAATGATATTGATGATTATGAATACGGCGATGATGATGAAGATGATGGTATAGACGATGAAGATAATTGCGGTCATGATAATGATGATGGTGATAATGATAATAATGATGATGATAATATAATGATAATGATGGTGATGATGATATAATGATAATGATGGTGATGATGATGATACAAGATGATGATGATGATAACAAATAACGGTGACTTCTCGCTAACTCATTCAATTAACACAGAGATTTATTTCGCTAAGATCTCCCGCCATATTTGCACTTTTGGTGTTTTGTTATTATTATTCTTCTCACCATTGCTCTTATTTTTATTATTATCGTTGTTGTTGTTGCTATTATTATTATTGATATTATAATTATTTTTTTGCGTTTATCATTATTAATTTATTATTAATAATATGAATACACGTTTATATGAAAAAAGTTCCTATTGATATTTTATTTTGACACAACATGGAATGAATTAATTTCTACTGAATTTTTCTTTACGTTTCGATTGTTAACTCAAACGCGTATTATAATTGACTGACGCACATTTTTTCAATAGATATTTCAATGGTTGTTACAGAAAAAAAAATTAACAAACTCAACAAACACACATGTATTTTTTTTTTACAAAGGTACATACACGTACATACATACATACATATATACATACATACATACATACATACATACATACATACATACATACATACATACATACATACATACATACATACATACATACATACATACATACATACATACATACATACATACATACACACACACACACACACACACACATGCATACATACATACACACGTTGTTACGTATGTAGTTTTGTCTGATGAGCAGTTAATATTTCAAATTTTCAAGTTGGAAATTCTATTTTTTCCTGATAAATATATGATGAATTGATGAGGTTATAGAAATATGAAATATATTTTCTTCTTTTTCTTTCTTCACTCTAGCATTTTAAACATTATGTGTGCTCTCATACACACATACTCTACGCACACACACACATACACACACACACTCACACACACACACACACATACACACACACACACAAACACGTACTCACACAAACACACACAGTTATGTAACTTTCGTACGTGCATACAAGCAAGCGTAAGCATCAATTAAAATTTTTTCTATTCAATACATTTTATATTTTTTTGCTGTATAAATTCTTTGAAAATTTTTATTAGCTTATTTTACGTAGCACAGGTTGATGATGTAATAATATATAAATATATATATTATTTATTAAATATATGTAATTATTTATGGAAACTTTTTTATTTTTTTGTCGATTAATTATGTTTTATTTAATAAAATTCTTTTGTCAAAACCGTTTTGTGTCTTTTTTCGAAATAACGTGATATCAATCAATTCTTTTTCTAAATGTTTACTGATTGGCCTAAAAATACGATTGTTAATAATAAAAGCAATTTAATTATATGATTAATTAATTAATTAATTACCATAATAGTAGTTCAATAATAATAATTATAACGATAATATTTTTTTAACAATTAACTTTTTAATACAGCTGAACTAATCCTCCAAAAAAGCCAAAAATTCCATTACATTAATACGTTTTTCATTTTAATAATTATGTGAATATAATTAATTATTTTAAAAATAATTTATTATTTTAAATATAATTTATCATTATAAATAATTATTCGACCATCCTTCTGTATTCATTTTTGTCCATTATTTTCAACAACAAACGCTGCTAAATTAATTACATTAACCCTTCGTTAACGTTGATACCAGCACAATAAAAATGCTACTAATAGCAAAATTGAAAAAAATACTAAATTTCAATAACCGATACACTCATATTTTTTTTAAATACAAATTTAAATGGAAAAAATGGTTATGAAAATAAATTGCATATGAATAGAATACAAAAACAAACATACAAGCACACATACATACATAAAAACCTAAAAAGTTATGCAAGCATACGTATAAACGTACATACATTCATATTCAAAACACATACATACATATATGCATGTAAATACAATAAACACATGCATGTACTGCCTATGAAAAATTAGCATCATAAGATAATCTTAGGGTCCAATTAGTTAATGCATTTAGATTTAACAAGGCCTTCACCGTCTGCCAATAGAATATAATGCAATATAGTGTTTCATAGGATTTGACAGAATGTATGTTTGTATATATGTGTGTATATATGTGCGTATGTATAGAGTTTATTTTATATAAATTTATGTGTGTGTATGTGTGAGTGTGTAGGTATGTGCCTATCGTACGTATATGTATTGTTTTTTGTTTTTTTTTTTTGTATGAACATTTCATATACAGATGTATAATATTTCAAAGTTTTTATGTATGTAATATATTCAGGAATATGATTAGTTGTTAATATTCATCTCTGTAGATAATAAAGTATACGGGATGCACGGGTTAATTTATCCCACGTTCTAGGCACATGACAAGTGCGAATCTGCAAACATATAAATGGCAAAAATAATGTTTAGAAGTATATTTATTGTGTTGTTAGCTTTCTGTTAGCGTGGTTCTATATTTTAATTGAAATCGTTTCTAGCGTAAGATTTCTATAATCCATGCCACATTTCTTCTTTAAAATAAAAATCAAATAAATATATTAATTTAATTTCATATCAGTAAATGTCAAAAACGCCATTTATTTAGTTATTTTTTGGTTATTTGATTAGTAATCTGAACCGATATTAAAGGAGTTTGTTTGCCGTTTGTAATGAAGATATATGCCTATTTGTTCTACTGATTTGCAGGATGGCTGGCTGGCTGTCACACACACACACACACACACAGACACACACACACAAACACACACACATACACACACACTCGTTCGCCTGCTCATTCCTTCATTTGGTTAATGTGTTTAACAAACTTATTAGATATTTCAGTATATTAATAAAAAGGTTAAAGGCGTCAAAAATATTTTCATTTTCGTTTTTTTTGTTATGTGATATATTATCGCACGGCATTCTTAGAGGCGAAGCAGACCCAAGAAAGAAAAAAATATTTCGTGATATGTTTATGTGCGGTTTTGATTTTTATGTCCATTTATATATATATATATATATATACACTAAATATACAATAAAATACACACACTCACACACACACACACATATATATAAATATACGTACACACAAACACACATACATATGTGCATTCTTAAAAGCGTTCACTAATACATACACAAACACACACACAGACTTACAAACATATATATTTAAAACATTCATGCATGCATACAACCCAAAGCATTAAACGTGCTCTTTCAAACGTGTTCAGATACACCGACATAAAACCTATTAGCGTACTGTATGAAAGAGGTGTACTTAAGTACAAAAATATGTAGTGGTACTTTAGAAAGGTAGGAAGTACATTCAATGACATCATCTGCCCGAGCAAAAAGTTTGTAATCAAGTTCATGAGATTTTGTTATCTTTGGTAACACAATACCACAATTCATTAAAGTTCTTTGCTTCTGTAGCAAGAAAACACTGCGCTACATTATTAAATTATCCGCCATATTGAATTAACCGACTACTGTTGCGTGCGTAACCATGGAAAGAACGAACCAAAGATCACATATATATTTTCTTTTTTTATACCTTACTTCCTTGCTGAGAATTATTTTTTCTTGCTGTATTGCGTTTGTATTGTTGTTGGAGTGGACGATAATGTTTGATGTTGTTGTTGTTAATGTTGCTGTTGATGACGTTGTTGTTGTTGGTGATGTTATTGATGTTGTTGTTGATGATGATGTTGGTGTTGTTGAAGAAGTTGTTGTTGTTGGTGGTGGTGGGTGGTGTTGTTGATGTTGTTGTTGATGTTATTGTTGATATTGTGGTTCGTGTTGTTGCTGCTGTCGATGTTTGTGCTGTGGTTCGTGTTGTTGATGTTGTTGTCATTGATGTAGATAATGTTTTCTTTGATGTTTTCAACAATAATTTCGAGCGTTGCTGCAGTTTTTTAAACTGTGGCATTGCTTATGATTAAATTATTTTATTATTTACATTTTCTTGGTAAATATGTTTTAAAAGATTTTGTTGTTTGTCGTAAAAAAAATTATTTTGATCAAATTTATTTCATTTTTTGTCATTTGAAAGAACGAGTTTTTTGATGTTTTAAAAAATTATTGTTGCAGGTGTAGCATGAAACTTTCTATGATTTTTTAAAATGTAGATTCATATAATTTCTTGAATGCTAAAATTTTTTATTTATTATGACTATTATTAAGTTTTTTATTTATGTTTTTATTAATATTGATGTTATTTCTATTTTAATTTGAGTTTATGTTACCGTTTTCATTTA